TGAAACGCGAGGGTCGTGGTCGGCCCGTGAACGGCCCGTGATCAAGAGACTGCCCCCAGTCTGACTTGAGACCGCCCCCGTGATAAATAAATGTAATTATTGTGAAGCCAGCTGCAATGGATCATTGATCCACCAGGGGGTGCAGTGGGGTTCCACACTGGAGCTCATGTGAAATCAACTTCGATACAGTAAACTGGATGTACAGTAATCTCTGGTACTACTGTATAGCGGATCTTTGTTAAGATCCATATGTCACGGATAGGATCATAGTCTGTGCTAAATAAGAGACATGTAATCATTTACAAAACATCACCATGTTGTTATTTAACAAAATAATGTTGTTTAGTCGAAAAAAACGAACGAGAGGCTCTCGATTTTTAATCCTAATTTAATCATCATCTTCACCACGATCATTTATGTTTATGTTCGCCGAATTGACATGAAATCACTGACAAATATGAATATATAGCAGGTCTCCCTTGAAAAAGAGATCAATGATCTCAATGGGATACAACCTGGATAAATAAAGGTGTGAAATGAAATGATTCTGTATTCAACTTCATTAAAACGTTATTAACGTGCCTAAACTCAGTAATTCACTAAAAATATTTATATTTTAATGGAGCCTTGTCAGGCAGATCAGGATCCCGACACGTAACGACTTGGTCATTGTGTTTTTATTGATTTAAAAAATAGTTGTATGTATTGATTTAAATTGACATGCATCCGCTAAGAAAAATTGTCCGTTGTTACCGTTTTTTAAACAGTCTGAATGCTGTGTGTTTACACACCTAATGGCCCATCAGTCACAGCTCTCCCCCCCCCCCCTGATCTTTCTTCTCCAGCAGTTAAGTTAACTGTAGGTTACTCTGAGTGACAAGCTTACAGTTAGTGAAGTAACACTTTTTTTTTGTGAGTCACGACCTGGCTGTTTCATTCAAACATAACGCTCCAAATGCTACTGTTTCCACTCGGACTTCAATACAGCTACACCATTGTTTGGTTTCCATGGTAGCGCGTCTCTTTAGTAGGCGCACTCCTTTCCTGTAAATTACAGGTCCAGCCAGGCAAAAGAGTGCACTTCTCTTTCCCGCACTACTGTGACAGACCATGGGGCTGGGTCAGCCACTAACATATTCATATTGCTCTTCTCAAAAAGAGAAATATGAATGTTAGTTTTTAACTGAAATGATCAAATAAAGTCAAAATGTCACAGTGTTTACAAACATTGACCATACCGTTCACCAGCCCCCACCCCCCTGCCTACTGTAGGCCTATGTTGAGTATAGCCTACTCTTTGTTTAAAACTAATTGGCCATCGGAATGTGTGTGTCCCAATCCCCCCCTGTGATATCTCTTCTCCAGCAGTCTGTAGGTTTGTGTTCGCATATTTATGCTGTCGCAGTTCCTAAATGACACGTTTACACCTTAAAACGATGTTTAAAACGAAAAGTAAACGTTCAGGGTTTTTATTAATGGTAATTTTCAGACTGTGAGTTGTTTAGTGGTAGCTCATATAGTCTTGATTCTTGTGGTTAAACTTTTCGCTCCGTATTTGATGGTAGTGGTGTCGAAATTCATTCGTCACTTCCTTTTCAGTTTTAGTTTTTTTTCATCTTTTTGTTTTGTTATTATTGTTACGTCCTGTCTGTATACACGTGCTTTAAAATGTATTGTTTAATTCTACATATTTGTCATATAATAATCAAAATATATGTTTACATATCTTACATAATAAAAGTGTCACATTCATGAAACTTGCTCCATTCATTGGTACTAGTCCTACAACTATACCCTAAAAAATGCTTGAGGGTGGGATTAATACAAACATCTTTTTGGGTGGGGTGCATTTTATGACAGGTCTGGTTATCACAATATGCCCCCCCTTACAAAATAAAAGTGTCACAGATTGATGCATTTAACTTCAATATAAAGAAAAACATCTTCTGTTGTAACAACAATAACATTATAAATAGTAACATAGCTGAACATGGTATTGCACATTTAGCTTTCAGTGTTACTGACCTGAGATGTTTTCATTACATGAATTAAGGTGACTGAGGCTTTTTAACATAGACTTTTCAGTGTCCCACATTTTGCACAGAACTGTCCCACATTAGGAAATGCAGATTGTCTGAGACAACTTGGCACTAAGAGTACTGATATGTCTACCATTTCTTTTCTGAGTGTAATATCTGCATTTTCTCTTTTGAAAAACTAAGTCCTAGTTTGGCCACTCATTTTTAATCACACACGTCTCCCCATCCCATTCAAATTCAAATTCTTGACTGGAAGGGCAGTGTTGCCTACATGTAAATGAATGGCATTGCCTATATGCATTTGAAAAGAAATAGTACCCCCCTCTGATACCCCTTTCACACCAAGGCTTTTCCCCTTCTAGCTCCGTGCTAGAGCTTTTCTGGTTCAGAACCGGTTCTTCGGTTTAGCGCCGGCTCTTTTCACACTGCCCAGAGTCCGACTGGTGCTGCGTCATCGCGTCATCGTTTGCGTCATGACGTAACCGTTTGCGTGCCTGCTTCATAAAGCCAAACCGCGCGGAAACCCCTCACATCGACAACAACAACAATGGCAGATAGTATTGAAGCGCTACTCGTTGTGGTTTTGCTCTGTCGAAACGAAATGGCCGAAATGGGACGACTTTACTACCAACTTTACAGTCGTTACATGCTACATTAAACCCTATTTACAATCATCATCATCAACTTCAACGACGATTCGTTAGGAGAAAGAAGGTAAATATATGTCCTATTCAATGGCGTTAGAGCTAGCTGTTGTTAGCCTCTGCATGCGCCAAGCTCAAAATACCCAGCTTTGCAGCATTCATTACTATGGTATAACATTAAAACTGATTCTCAATGTTATTTCCACAGATCATGTTGAAGCTGGCGGAAAGGCGGATGTCGCGTGTTATTTGGACACAGCCCAGATCTTCCGACTGGTGGGACACCATTGCTTCCGACTTCTCCCCTCTGCAATTCATGCAGAATTTCCGCGTGTCCAGGGGGTCCTTTGACTACATCTGCAACCAGGTCAGCGGCGTTTTGGGGAGAAGAGACACAAATTACCGTCTGTGTATACCCAATAGAAAACGGGTTGCAATTGCCCTCTGGAAGCTGGCCACCGGAGGTGAATACAGGACCATCAGCCATCTTTTCGGGGTAGGCCTAAGCACTGTTTGTCTCTGTGTTCAGGATTTCTGCAGGGCAACCATGGAAAAGCTGCTTCCACTACATATCAAATTTCCTGATGTGGAGAAGTTGGTGGAAATGGCCACTTTTTTCAACAACCGCTGGGGAGCACCACAGTGTGTTGCTGCAATCGATGGAAGCCACATCCCTATTTTAGCACCACAGAATTATCCCAAGGACTATTATAACAGAAAAGGATGGCATTCTATTGTTCTACAGGCTGTTGTTGATGGCAGGGGGATGTTCTGGGATGTGTGTGTTGGCGACCCAGGTAGTGTACATGATGCTAGAGTGCTAAAACAATCCAATCTTTGGGAGGCTATCAGTGATGGAGTGTTGCTAGGCCAAAACAAAATGGCCATCTCTGGCTGTGATGTGGGACATTACCTGATTGGTGACCCAGCCTATCCAATGCAAAGATGGCTGATGAAACCATTTTCGGACACTGGGAGACTGACCCCTGAACAGCACACCTACAATTACAGGCTGAGCAGTGCACGGTCGGTTGTTGAGATGGCTTTTGGAAGGCTAAAAGGAAGATGGAGGTGCCTCCTAAAAAGGAACGACTGCGCGCTGGAGCTCAGCAAAATAATGACCGTGACTTGCTGTGTACTACACAACATATGTGAGGAACATAGCGACAACTTCACTGAAGATTGCCATGAACGTCTTGTGTACAACCAACCCCCTTTACACCCCTGTCCAGAGCATGGTAGACAAGAAGGAGCTGACGTTAGATCCGCATTGATGAACTATTTCAACATGGAGGACCACTGATATTACTGCAGTTAAACCTGATCCAAATTTTATCATGTCTCTTTTTTTTTTTACAATAAAATCACTGGATCACACTTGAATTGTGTTTATTTTGTATACAAATCACAGAATCAAGATACAAACAGGTATGAACAATATTCTTATAGAAAAAGTGCATACCCAAATGGTTTAACAATATTCTTATAGAAAAAGTGCATACCCAAATGGTTTAACAATATTATTATAGAAAAAGTGCATACCCAAACAGTTGAAATATATTCTTATAGAAAAAGTGCATACCCAAATGGTTTAACAATATTCTTATAGAAAAAGTGCATACCCAAATGGTTTAACAATATTCTTATAGAAAAAGTGCATACCCAAATGGTTTAACAATATTATTATAGAAAAAGTGCATACCCAAATGGTTTAACAATATTATTATAGAAAAAGTGCATACCCAAACAGTTGAACTATATTCTTATAGAAAAAGTGCATACCCAAACAGTTGAACTATATTCTTATAGAAAAAGTGCATACCCAAATGGTTTAACAATATTCTTATAGAAAAAGTGCATACCCAAATGGTTTAACAATATTCTTATAGAAAAAGTGCATACCCAAATGGTTTAACAATATTCTTATAGAAAAAGTGCATACCCAAATGGTTTAACAATATTCTTATAGAAAAAGTGCATACCCAAATGGTTTAACAATATTATTATAGAAAAAGTGCATACCCAAACGGTTTAGACTATATTATTAACTGAAATACAGTGGGCCAAAATTTAAAAATCGGTTAATTTAAGAGTTTACGTGAAATCCAGTTTGAGCTACATTTGTTTGCTATGAGCTAAGTCATGTTTGAATTGTCCAATTTCAATCTATAATACTAATTTAAATGTAAAGAAAAGCAGAGCAGCTTACACTTTGCATCGAGATACGTTTGCCTTTATATCAGTGAAATAAGAAATAAGACAATGTAGCATATGTAATATATGAAAATTCAAGACTTGTGTAGTGCATGGGGGGGATTATTGTAAGTAAGATCATATGAAACTATAATATCAGACATAGGACTTTTGTTTATTTTATATACAAATCAAAGAAAAGTATGGACAATATTCGTATATAAACAAGATTTATTCCAAAAAAGTGTGGAGAATATACTTTATATACTATAATAATGTGTGGGGAAAAAAGGGTGTTAAAAAAAGGTATGAACAAAAAAAGGATGAACTATTTACATACAAAAATAAGGTCAGTTCTTGTTGGTCTCCATGACCTTCACAATCCTGTCTACCAAGCCAAGCATTGAGTGGCTGTTCTCCTCAATTCTCCTGAACACCTTTAGGAACTCAGTATTGGCAGTATGCACCTCCGCAAGCATCGCCTGGCCCTGCTCCAGTAGCCTTTCATCCCTCACGTCACTTTTCTCCATATAACTCAGAAGGCCAGATGACGAATCCCGCTTCCTTTTGACTACAAAGGGAAAAATAATAAAGTCAACACAGTATTCATGACATTTTATGAGATGTATATTATATACTGTGTAATGAAATGTTGTATTGTTATTATGGCTGCAGTTGCATAACTTGAACAACTACTACAATGACTATGCCATGATAAATGCACATGGCAACAGGGAACAGTATTACTATAATGATCACTGTAAACCTTACCCTGTTTGTTTCGGCCCACTGGCTGGATGAGGTTCACCAGACATTCCTGGGAAGAGCTGCTTGCCATAAGAGGAGACCCTCCCAGCCGCATGGGCGAGCTGCAGGCCGACGGTAGTGGTGTTTCCGACTCAGTATGCTCAAAAGACGATATTTCTGTAAACACAATATAAACACAATGAACAAAAGTAGCCCTTCAACAAATCATAAATCATTAGTGAGAAGGAAGAAGATACATTGGAGGCGTTAGCTGTCTTTGCCTTGGGGATACCTTTGTTTATTATTGTTAGCATTAGCATGCTAGCGCTATTATTGGTTTGGATGCACATCCGCTAGCTGTAGTAGCTCAACTTTAGCTTTATTTTCAGGTCTGTCGATAGCTAGATGGTTGTAAAACAAAGTCACAAATAAAACAAATCGGTAATGCATAACTCACCGGCAAATGAGCTCCGCACATTCAGCGACTCGACCTGCAACATAATCGACGAGAGACAAAGCGAGTTCACCGTCGATCCATAACCACTGGTCGGTCTGTCTCCGAGGACCGAGTCTAGCAAGTCATAATGTGGACTTGCTTTAGGACGACCGCTGCCACTCCGTCCGAGGTCTCGCTTTTGGTCCCGATAATCCTTCTTCACCTTCTTCAATTTGTTGGCAATCTGCTCAACGGTACGGTCAAACCCAGCGCTTGCCATGTCGTGCTGCAATTGTTGTAGAATTGCCTTGGACCGCGTGCTCCCCTCCAGCTTCCTTTGTACCTCTTCCGAAGACCAGATTCCCAGTAGGTAGCTAGTCTCCTCGGTGGACCACTGCTGCTTGTTAACTCGGTTTTCCATCGTTGTGTACAAACTGGATAACGCGCAGGCTTTTTGTTGTTGTTAGAGGTTGATCCCGCCCCTGCCCCTGCCCCTGCCCCTGCCCCCGCCTCCAACGTAAGCGTGACGTATGCGGTTCTTGCTTCTACATGGATAACTTTTTGGTACTCGAAACGAACCGGATTCCGGAGCTTAGAGGCTGCTCCGCTGCGGTGTGAACAGGAAAACCCGGTGCTTTTCAAGCACCAGCACCGAACCAGCCCTGAAACACCGTTGGTGTGAATGGGGTATGAGTGACTATCTGTTGACTTCACATCTTGTCACAAACCAGGGGACTTTACTTCCTGATTTTTGGAATACAAAATAATTTATCTGTGTACGTGTTTTACTGAACGAGCATACTGTACTGTGATCTGCATGCACTTATCAAACATTTAATTAAAGTGGACCTATCATGCTATATTTGAATAATATAGTGTATATACCTATATAAGGCATATTTATACTTTTTTTTCTTCAAAATACCAAACAGATCATGCATTTTAGCCATGCCTCATTTCGCTCAATTTGAAAATGTATAGCTCTGTTTTTGCAAGGGTTTATTATGTGCCAACAGCACCATCTAGAGGCCTGGCATATGTACTACAGCGTCTCCAGCGCTTTCGAACGGCAATGCCGTGGTTGTCTCCTCCTGATTGGTGGAGTTGGCCCAATAGCCGTACACTCTTAGAAATGAAATATGGATGTTGTTTGCATTAATTGCTTTTTTTATATTGAAACTACTAAGTAAATGCACTTTTTACAATTAAATCAAGAGACTTTAATTACATTTATGTAAAAGTTCAAAGTTTTGGGATTACATTACCATGTTGTGTTGTATTTAAATGGTAAAGTTATTTAAAACGCACTGATTGTCCCAAAGTGCTTGCCGTACTTTCTCAGCACATGCGCTGTAAGACCGGGGACATGTGTCATTTGAATCCTGTGACTGTGAGATGACAGAACCGCATTTTTTCCCTTTCCTGTGCCATCCTGCGATGTTATGGTAAGTTTCTTAAATATTAACATATATTAAACACAAACGGTCCCTGAAATACAAAAGTTGATGTGTATTTTTGATTTCCCTGCTACCAACTGTATACTTTGATGATAGATTTGAAAAGCGGTGCAGCCTAGCTAACAGCTAGCTAACAGCTAGCTTAACGGTCACTTTTTAATTATGTTCCCTTGCACTTAAAAGTGTTAGAATATGTCACAAAAGAGGTGACATTTCAAGCTTTGTCTGTATAAGTCAATCGTTATGTATTTAATGATTTTAGCTTGATGTGGTTATAATAGTAATGTTAGCTCTTACCAAAAGTAAGTGGACACGTTTTTTCCCTCCTTTTTTTTTAATTTTTTTTTTTAAATGTGCTTGATTTAAAGATTTGAGAGCCTGGTTGCAAACATCTCCAGTGCCAAAAAGGTCATAGTCGGTTAAGGTCTTCTAAGTCTATTAAAAATAACTTCATCAAGTGTAACGCCCTGAGGGAGGTTTTTTTGTTCAATTGTAAAGCTTATTTGGAAGAAATAAAAATCCCATCTGTGCACTGTACTGTTGCGTCAGCCGGAGCCGTGCCTGGTCGTTACGTTAATTATGTCGGCTAGGAATATCAAAGTGTGAATTATTTAAAGCATGTACAGGAACACACTCAACAAGCACATCTTCCATTAAGACAGCTCTTAAATAGACACGTAATTCACCCGAAAACGTGTTTCTTTATAATAATCAGAGAGAGAGAGCAAGATTAAATAGTGGCAGGTACTTCAGCCGCAGATGCCACTATTTGCTGAGACAACTGCGGCTGCTGAAGGGGTGTTACTCTGGGTGCCGAGCCAAGCGAATGTGTGTGGCAGTTGCCACTTACCTGCCGTGGCAACTGCTTGTGTTTAAACAGTTATTTATCGTGGAAAAGTATTTCCATGTTCTGCTACTCTGTAATTCTACTCAATTACATTTCAGTGGGAAATATTGTACTTTTACAACACTACATTTATTTGACACTTGTAGTTACCTTTTTAGATAATGTTTATATTCATATACATGTACTACTAATTTACTCAGTTCTTTCCAAAATATGCTCTATATTAACAAATCACAACATTAAAAAATCTTGTATATATGTAGATTTTTTATTATAAGAACATTCATTTTTATTCTATGATGCAACCCTTTTACAAAAGGCTTTCTGCACAAAGTACTTTTTCTTTTGATACTTTATTATATTTGGCTAATAACACGTTGGAACTTTACCTTAAGTATTATTTTGAACTTGGGACTATAGCAAGTAATGGAGTATTTATACTTTTACTTTAGTACAGGATCTGAGTACTTTTTCCACCACTGCTTATGATCCAGTAATGGGTTGCTATATCGTGCACCTCACACCCTGAATTATGTTAATGGCTGCAATAATAGTTGTTATTTACAATACATTTGGATCATTAACACATTTCTCTTTTTCTCTAGGTTTTGAATGTGGAGATGCAAACAGTGTACTGAGACTCAATCTACAAGGTACCAATTACTGAAGCACTATAAATTAAAACACGGCCATTTTGGTCAGAGACACCCATATCCATGCACATACTATGAATGCCCATGCTCTTTCAAAACATGGAATGCTCTTAAAACACATTTAAGTAGATGTCATGTTGAATCTTTACCTGTATTAAGTGCAGAGCTATTTTAATAGATGCACATGTATAAGAAAAGAACCTCAGCTGAAATTCTTTGTTTGGTTTACACCAGTAGATGTCCTGTCCTTTCTGCTATGACACTTGATGGATATTATTAGCTTTAAACAAAACATTTGAACCTGTATCACAATGTGTTGCAGGTAAACGCAGAATTCACCCGCATCACCACCGTTCCGCTGCTGCCTACCTTCATGTCTCAACTGGATCGCCATTCGTCTCAGTTGATGAAGGTTTTCAAAAAGAAGGGGGGAACAGCAGGACGCAATTTGGGCCTGATCATGGCAGCCATGGACAAGGTATGTAGTTGTAATAAATTGTGTAGTTTGGGCACTGCAACACCATATTCTCTTTATCTCTCTCTCTTGTTGTCCCTCTCATATAAATATATTTTAACCTCTCTGACCCCCTTTCTTTGACTTGCCAAAAATCAGCACACAAGCATAATCAGTATTCTTGTGTGAAGATTTTGAAAATGTGTTTGTCCCTCAGGATCCCACAGTTGAAACACGACGGGACTGTGTCCTTAAAGCGCTCTGCGTCTACTTGAATGAAAGTTCCGAGAGCTTCATAAAGGAATATTTGGTAAGTTGAAACATAGCCAAACACAGATATATATATATATATATATATATATATACACCTGAACATCAGCAGGAGAGGACTCTTTAAAGTAGAGACACTACATACTGATATACACCTGATCAGCAGCAGGAGAGGACTCTTTAAAGTAGAGACACTACATACTGATATACACCTGAGCATCAGCAGGAGAGGACTCTTTAAAGTAGAGACACTACATACTGATATACACCTGAACATCAGCAGGAGAGGACTCTTTAAAGTAGAGACACTACATACTGATATACACCTGAACATCAGCAGGAGAGGACTCTTTAAAGTAGAGACACTCCATACTGATATACACCTGAACATCAGCAGGAGAGGACTCTTTAAAGTAGAGACACTCCATACTAATTTGAACCTGAACATTTGCATAATATGTCCTCTTTAAATAAAAATAATTGAATTTGTTTTTTATTCAAAGTATTTGCTGCTACTTTGGTTATATTGTTCATGTACATTTACAACTACATGTATTTATTTACAATGGATCCAATAAAAGGATTTGCTCATTTGTTTCATATTATAAAATGATGTGTGTCAGGGTTCTCATACTGATAATCATGAATACTATGTTCTAATCCCACTTTAGGATGTTGAACTTGCAACAACCCAAATGGAGCCAATGGTATTGGGACTCTATCTCGTGAAACACGAAGGAGCAGAACCCGGGCGTCATCATCGAGGGTGTTGGAGTGCTGCGAGAGCTGAAATACTTGGCAAATGGATGGGCAGTATTGCTTGGACTGATTTACAGCCTCAATCTGAGCTACCCCAAGGACCTGAAACATACATTTGAATTCATTCAAAAAGTATTGATGGGGTTGGATGGCAACAGACTGTCAACCAAGGTGCAGGTTCTGAAAAACAGATTACAAGAGTAATCCCAAGGACAAAATACTGTGACAGAGATAACGTCCAGTTCATTTCCATCTCGGTACATTCACACACACACACCACACCACACCACACACACACACACACACACACACACACACACACACAGAGAGAGACACCACAAACACAGAGACAGACACACACCACACACAGAGAGACACACCACACACACACACACACACACACACACACACACACACAGAGAGAGACACCACAAACACAGAGACACACACAGACACACACCACACACAGAGAGACACACCACACACACAGACACTCACAATTGTATTTCTGCTTTTGAAAGTTCAAGACATATGTTCATGTGTATAACAGAGGCAAAGATCTACTGTAACACATTATGTGCTTGAGCAATATTATGTGATGCGTTTCATCTAAGTGTTTGGAAAGACATAAAAACACCATACTTCATAGTAAAGTTGCATTTTATAAAATGTTCAGATAATAAGTCATTATTGTAGCTTTTCAGCCCACATGTTAACTTCTTGAGTCACTCGTGTTTCTCATCACTGTCAAGTTCAGCAGCTGTCATGGGTTTTTTACGCAAAGAGCTTTAAAATTCTAATATGTGCACCTACCACAAATGGGCTGTTGGAGTTAAGTGTTTTTTTGTTGTTGAATTGTTGTGGCAATTCAGATGGTTGTTTGCAAAATGCAATGTTATAAGTGTAAAATGAACATTTAAAATAAAGTGAGCGGAATACAAATTACTGAGTTGGAGTCATTTGAATTACTTATATTGATAGAGCAATTTGGATTAAATGATGTTAAGTGCAAATAACACAATCCTACAACATAAATGGAACTAATTTGTGTTAAGTAATTACAACCTAACTGTGTTAGGTAAATCAGTGCAAACTTTAAGTAAATACAACATAATTGTGTTAAGTAAAAACAACAATTTAAGTAAATTCAACATAACTGTGTTAAGCAAATACAACATAACTGTATGATGTAGCATTTAATTAAGATGCTTTTGTAAGATTTACTTAAATGCAAGAAGTAAATATTAGTTTACTAGTCTGTTTCCTATTTACTTAGCCTTGTTACGTGCAGCCGGTTGACATAACTAGATTAAGTAAATCTAACATATCATTTCTTTGAGTGTAGCGCCACTTTCCTGACGTCAGGAAAGTGTTCAAATCTGGATCAGTTTTTATCAGATCCGTTGCAGCCCCTTTTTTAGAGATTTGGGTATGGAGGAAAATAGAGAGGGTTGTGTTTTCTGACACTTGGTGAGTTCCCTGGAACACCGGGGACACATATTCATGTATAAAAGACGTACAAAAGTGCATTTTGCATGATAGGTCCCCTTTAAAGTAGTGAAAACAAATAGTGAGGGGGTCCAAAATCAGCCAACGTGCTTTGTTTTTAATGTTCATCACTATAATAATAAGTACATTATTCAAAAGTTTACATTAACTTTGGATAATAACACGGGAGAAACGGATCCTCTCTTTTCCTCTCTCCCTCTCTCTCTCTCCTGACAGCCCGTCAGTTTCTCATGCAGCTCGCCAAACAGTGGGCGGAAATAATAATAATATTAATTATTTCACACAAAAAGGTTATGACAATATATGACTATTGATGTACAAATAACACTGTCTGTCAATTGTGTAAAATAAGAAGATTAGATTACAACTTGTATTTAGAAATACTCTGTTGTAATTATTGATGCATAAATGTGTTCATCCATTCAATGTGGCATCTGCTATAATGGGGTTAATGTATGATATTACTTAATAATACAATACACTATATAATATATGATATGATAATTACATTTTAATTTGATTCATTTCTTATTTCATAGTTTCTCATCATTATTATGAAAGCACCCATTGTTTTAGATAATGGTCGGAATGTGACCTGTGAGCCTTCTGAATTACCGTGGGATAGCACATTCTAAACTAAAATGTTCAATCAATAAAGTAACATCTTATCTTATCTTAATAATATCTTCATATTAATAATAATAATAAATCATACAGTATGTGTCCGAAAGGGAGCAGGAGGAAGCAAACACAAAAATATACCAAAAATATACTGCATATTAAAGCAAACGATTGTAAAGGTAAAAGTATGAGCATCAAATCAAATCAAGTTTTATTTATATAGCACATTTTTAAACTATTTTTGGTCGAGCCAAAGTGCTGTACATATAATAAAAATACCCTACGGTAAAGACACTTTACAGCAAATACAACAGCACAGTTTGTTCAGAATATCAGTATGAGAAAACGACACCCTCTGTCCTTAGACCCTCACATCGTACAAGGAAAAACTTCCAGAGAAAAACCCACATTTCAAAGGGAAAAATGGGAGAAACCTCGGGGAGAGCAACAGAGGAGGGATCCCTCTCCCAGGATGGACAGAAGTGCAATAGATGCTGTGTGTAAATCGAAGAGATAATACATTTTACAGCGTAGGTAGACCGCATGACAAATAAAGAAGTGTAATGTAAACATTTACATTATTATTATGATTATTTAATATATAAAGACTATATATTATTGAATTACAAGATTAGATATACTTTATTTGATCCAAAATATTGATGTGTTCAAATGCTCTTCTAAACAACACTGAAAGTCCATGAAAAGTTGTCTTTCTGTATTTGTGAATGAACCGCCATCTCCTGGTTAAATCCTGAAATTGAAAATCTGGCAACGCCCTCTTGGAAAATAGTGGGAGGGCTTAACATTCCCAGATGCAGGGTTGCGTTCGAATACTCCAAAAAAACAGCTCCTAAGTTCTAACCCTATCGTCTATTCCTTGACCTCGGAGTGAAACGTCATGGGGTTAAGGGATAGTGGATAGGAGAATTCAAAAGGATTTAGGAGAAGAGACTGCGGCACTTTAGAGAATCCGACTGCACTTTCACTATCCGACGTGTTTATGATGCGCCAGCGGAGGTCATAAATGTGCGTCTGCTGAACTACAACTTTCCGAAAGCGGACTACTATAAGCGCTGTTATTGTGTTGTTTTATGCTTTATGAACGTGTGCAACAGCGAACAATATGTTGTTCATTATGGTTGAAATTAAAACAAATAAGTAAAGTCAAAGAAAATCGTTGTCACATTGATAATTGTTGCACACACTCACTCACCTCACCCTCCTGGCAATATACAAAACAATTGATGGAAACCGTGTTAGACCTACATTTGTATTGCTGTACATATCACCATTCTTAAGTTTATAACATGTAGAATTAAAATATGGCCAAAAGTCTCAATTAGATTTGAAGCTGTATTGGCTTATTGATGTGTTATGGGACAAAATAGTTGTTTACCCAAAGACATTACTATCAAATGAGCACAGGCCCAACACTGTTGCACTCAATGAATAACCACCCAGCTGAATAGTATGTTGCTGAATGACCCTATTAGTGTCCTATATAAGAGCAGGTGGGCAGTATCACAGTTTCAGAGCAAGATGGCAGAAATGGAGCTTGTGGCTGCTGCGTTGCAAAACAACGGAGTAAATATTCAGAGAAGGAGAGCACGACTGCAGAGGCTGGCAGTGTGTTTACAAGGGGTAAGTGGATTCTGATACAGGTTTTAATCATATATTACAGAGCATGCTTACATTGCACATACTATCAAGAGTATAGCTGAAACTGTTCCTGTATATTTCATGTGTTTTTGTGTACCTGGGTGAAGTTAGCTTTGAGGACTTTCTGACAGAAAATTTTGTTATGGTTTATAGCCAACAAACATATTTCCAGTATTGGTTATTTAGAGCAAACTTGAAGGCTATCTCCTCCCATGTGCTTGCGTTACACAACAAATATGCATCATTGTATAAAAAAAAAAGACAGCCACAATATTGATGTATTTCAACCTTTTACTATTTACACCTGTTTTGTCTTCTACAGGAGAGGATCGACATCTATGCCAACCTCAACCACCATGTCCCTGTAATACAAATATATATGGATCAGTCCATAGACCTTACATTAGACTACCGCCTGTCGAGGGAATCCATTGAGGCCCTGATGACCCTTCTCAGGAGGGAGAAGAGCCATGGCTGGGTTCAGCATGTGGAGGTCCTCCTGGTGGTCTACTGGCTGGCACATGGGTTGTCCTATTCGGTTGTCTCCAGGGTTTTTGATATTGTCCACAGGATGTGTGAGGCAATATTATGTCTGTTGGAGAAGGTCATCCATTTCCCCACACAGGCACAGTGTGCTGAAGTTGGCAATGGCTTTCATCGCCTTGCCAACAGCCCAGCCTTCAGCCACTGTGTGGGAGCTATAGATGGATGCCACATCCGCATCAAGGCTCCCAATAGCCCCCATGCCCAGGATTACCTGAACAGGAAACTGTTCTTCTCTGTCCAGCTTCAGGGAATCTGTGACAGTTATGGCAAATTCCTGGACATTTTTGTTGGCTACCCTGGTTCGGTCCACGACACCAGGGTGCTCAGGAACAGTCCAGTGTTTGTGAGGGGCTGTTACCCACCAGCTGGCCATTACATTGTGGGGGATGGAGGTTACCCGTGCCTGAGGGAACCTTTTAACCTCATCACACCATGCCGGGAACCGTTGAGGGGTAGAGTGGAGGCACGCTTCAACCGACACCATGCCAGAGCCCGATCGGTTGTGGAGAGGGCTTTTGGGATGATGAAGGCACGGTGGAGAGGGATCTTCTTCAAGGCCCTGGAAGTGGATCACAGCTTTTCCCCCAAGGTGATGGCAGTGTGTGCAGTGCTCCACAACATCTGCCTCACTGCTGGAGACATCCTGGAGCCAACTGAGGGAGAGGATCCAGTGCTGCTACCTCCACAGGGACCTGTGCAGAGGGATGAACATGCTGGTCAGCACTATAGGGACAGACTGGCAGCACACGTGTCAGCCCCACATCAGCGTCCTCCACACCTAAATGAGCATGATTATTTCGTTATATAGTAACTACATTAATGGCTTTCGTACATCATTCATTTTTTTTAATATGCAATCATTCCCCATAAATACATGTTACTAATGCACGTTATTGTGTCTCTTGTGGTGCAGGTTGCCATGCTTGGATTGTTGCTACTCCTACTGCAGCAGCATTTTCCAGTTGGAAGCAACTAAGCTCCATCTTTTTTGTTGATGTTCACCCCGTTATGTTTTATTTTTGTCATGTTTATTTGTACGTACGACACCTATTGCACGTCTGTCCGTCCTGGGAGAGGGATCCCTGCTCTGTTGCTCTCCCTGAGGTTTCTTCCATGTTTTCCCCCTGTTAAAAGGTTTTTTTTTTTGGGAGTTGTTCCTCATTGGCTGCAAGGGTCTAAGGACAGAGGGTGTCGTACACTGTACACATTAGAAAGCCCTGAGGCAAGTTTTTGGTTGTTAAATAAACATTTGGCTGATATATTTCACTGGAGTGGGTCTGTCATTTTGCATGTAGTGTTTGTCATTACACAAGTCATTTTTTAGCATTTTTAGCACAAATATTGTTGAAAGTAACTGTTGTATTGTATTTGAGAAAGCTGCTATGACTTGTGGTGCTTGTTTATTGAAGCACTGTTTCTGAGTGTTATCCAAATCATCTACTGAAGAACTCCACTTTAGTGTTTTCAACAAGTTACACATTTATTGTTTATTTTTTTTTCACAAGCTCTGCAATCAAATTTACAAGCCGCTCATTCTGCTCATAAAGGGCTTCATCACGGGCCTCGTCCTTCTCTGCCTACTTTTTCAGGAAGGCCAAAACGCTGCTTCTTCGCCTTGGCCTTTTAGGAGGTGGTTGGGAGCTGGTGGAGGGCACGGGTTCCTCCTCACTGCTGAGGGAAACTTGAGAAGGCCCTTCCTCAGCAGAGGTGGAGGCCTCAGCAGCAGTCTGGCCATGGCTTGACATCGGGCATGAGGCAACTAGGGTGGGAGGCTGAATTGATGGCCTTCCCCCAATTGCCTCATGCATGGCCTCAAACCATGGCCAGGTAGCTGCTGAGGCCTCTCCCCCGTCTGTTCCTGTCCCAGTTGGGGGATTCTTTAACTCCTATTGACAACACAGATAACAGACTGTTAGTTAAAGGGCAGTGAGGGCAAAAGCACATTACATTACATTGCATTTAGCTGACGCTTGTATCCAAAGCGACTTACAATAAGTGCATTTGACCAATAAGATACAAACTTCAAGAAAACAGAATCATATAAGTACATTAGGTTTCATAGAGCCAAAACATTTCAAGTGCTACTCAACTGGCTTTAGATAAGCCAGTCCTTTGTTAGTATATAAGTGCTTAGTTAGTATTGAAATGCACACCAAACGAAACATTGTACTAATTCTAAATGTGTAATTGCTTACGCCTTAAATGTTAACAAGTGTAAACAACTAAGCAAATTCACATTTTTATATAGGAGGCTGGGGTCGCCAGTTTAAGTCTGTAGCATAATATCTACAAACACTAACCCACCGCAGTGCCCAGCCATGTGATTTGCTTTACCTTGTATTTTGTCTTCAGGTTGTCCCATTTCTTTGAGGCCTGTGGACCAGTCACCTGGCCCTCCAGACCCATGTCTTTCACAACCTGCCTTTAGTTACAAATTATCTTAATTCACCATGCACATTTAGTCAAACATTTTATCAGACACATATAGATGTACTTACTCCCAGCCTGATTTGGCAGCATTTCGTTTGCCACTAAACATGTGCTCCATGTTCACCCTTGCACTAATTAGTGCACGGGTTTCTGCATCTGTGCCTGAAATAAATACATCATATTAGGCTTGCATGGTACAACGCTGGAAACTAATAATTAAATAGCCTAATGCAAACTGAGCATAAAGGTTTTAGTACGATGTTAACTTTACCTGGATAATTTCACAAGTCATTTCATATAAGCATTTTGCCAAGTTATGGCGTAAGAATGTAAAAGCTTAAGAGAGCAGCAGTAACTTACATGATCTTCGTTTGTCCGTCATGATCGGTTGTTTCCGTGAACGGCCGGACATTCCCTCGTCTTAAATGCCTTGGCCGCAAGGCATTGTGGGGCAGCATTTTCTCCTCTCCTGTCGGTTAGGGAGGTCCAGTGGTTCCTAAGCTAAAGGAGGTTATAAAGGAAGTTTGAAACCTCCTTTCCTTTCATTTTAGAGAATTCGAACGGCACTTATCATGGCTGCCACTGAGGGACTTCCGGGTCATTTCACTCCGTTAGGAAGGTTCCTAAGCTAAATGGACTATTCGAATGCAACCCTGGTCTTAGGCAGGTAGCAGGCAGGAAGCTGTAAGCTGGAGTCTGAAATAAGCTGCTACATCTGTAAGTAAGGCCATGGAGACGGGATGTCTTGCTGGTGGTCTGATGAATCGCCTCCGTCGATGTTATCTTCATTTTCAGTCATGTCACTGACTGTACTAGTGTTACTCATGGACATTATGCCGTTAGACCTTTCTCCCTTAACGTCTCTGCCTAGCTGTTTCGTCATACGTCTTTTACGTTGTTTTCGTCTGTCGTGCATGATCTGCACACCATGGCTCGTCTTCTCTACGTGTTATTGTCACATCCATTTGGTTTTAAATCAGTCTTGATGTCGGGGAAGGCCCGCAATGATGCAAAATAAAAATAATTGATCATTCACCTCACATGCATTAAAACGAAAGTAAGGAGCCTGTTTTGAAAATGTAAGAAGTAGAAAGTACAGATATTTGTGTTAAAATGTAGGGAGTAAAAGTAAAAAATCGTCAGAAAAATAAATACTTAAGTAAAATACAGATACCTGAAAAATCTACTTAAGTACAGTAACAAAGTATTACTACTTCGTTACTTCCCACCTCTGGTTAGAGTTAGTGATAGTTGCTAAAAACTAAAGATGAAAACAAGAATAGTGCCTAACTACAGTAAGTCTCACATTACCTCTGAATGAAAACCCAAAATGCTCATGTTCTCTTAACCTCTTAAGGACGACAGTCCCCCCAGTGGACCCCCCCCCACCGTTTTTTTTCGAGACTGTGTCTCAGGGCTTCTTAACATTTATGAAAGTATTAATGTGTAGCACCAGATTAACGGGAAGAATCTCAACTAACTGAAGATATGAACCATTTTTACCAAAACAAAACACAAGGGTAATACCAAGCCTCTGAATTAGCACTAAGCGAAAAAATGCTAACGCACTTTAGCACAGAACTCAAGATAAAGATACCCTTATTACTTATCGTAGCTGCACATACAATATATCCGATTAAAGCTGAGACTCCACAGATTATATAGTATATATACTCAGATGAGTACCTGGAGTCAGTGTTTGGTACTCCAACTTCTGACGATTGTCAACGGGGGGGGGGGGGTGGCGTCATTGGAGTGCAGCACTTCGCGATTGTCAACGGGGGGGGGGGGGGAGTACAGCGCTTCGCGATTGTCAACGGGGGGGGGGGGTGTAGTACAGCACTTCGCGATTGTCAACTTTAGCGTCAGTGGAGTACAGCGTTTCGCCATCGTCAACCGGGGGGGGGGGTGGTAGTAGAGTACAGAGCTTCGTGACCGCGGAGCGGGTGAACGTTGTGATCAGCTGTTTTAGCGCAGGGCTGCTGTACAGACCGACATTAACAGCAGCCCTCTCTGTCGTCCGGTGAACTAACCGCCTTCTGGAAAAGCTTCACATTTACGTCGGTACGCAAATGCGCTTTGTGACACAAGTGACGGTACGCATTTCAGATTGTTGCCGCGCATGCGTACCTGCGTACCAGTTATGTGCACCCCTGTATATAGGTATAGTATCATCACTGAGCGATCCGAACTCGCGACAGGGGAAGCAAACACAGACATCACAACACGTACCTTTACGGAGCTTTTACGGGAGATCGTCTCACCGTAGCTGTCAATCTGATCAAAAGACGTGTTCAATGGCATTAAAAACGAGAAAAAACGCGGCTGAATCGGTTGATCCATAGGTTAATAATGTATCTGTAGCTTTGAAAAAATTATTTATAATCCATAATTCCATTTTTATGTAAAAATCGGAGAGAAAAAGTTAGCTGCTAATGGTAGCCACCAGAGTGTATGCAGCTTCCGGTTTTGGCCACGCGTCACTCTCACTCCTTATTTGTTAACGTGTTGGTGTGTATAGAACTTTCCCTCGATTCCATTGGCTCTAGCAGTTATAAAGAGATTTCATTCATCAAAATCGACCAAGGGGGGCCAGAGATAGGTCAAATCCACCCAAATTTCACTTGTTTTGCATCAATCTTGATACAGGGTACTTATATGTTGTACTTTGGATTCCTAAAGCTTTTAGTCTACTAACCCATCATCCAAGGGTAGTTTTCACTATAAGTAAAAAAGAATATTTGGACGGACACTATAATTTACAGTTTTTTACTATGTTCAATCTGAATTTTCTTTAAAATAAAAAACATCTATATTGATTCTGACTTTTCTACATCCAACTCACAGGTTTATCATTACTTTGAGAACAAAGATTATTAATTTAACCCTTTTAGAAGGGAAGATATGGTCATTTGTTCTGGGAATGTCATTTTCGAGCCTGAGACCTGAAAAACAGGCTCAGGGCTTAAGAGGTTAAAGGGTCCCTATTCTGCTCATTTCAGGTTCATATTTGTATTTAGTGTCTCTACTGTGACATGTCTCCATGCTTTAATGTTCAAAAAGCTCTTTATTTTTCTCATACTGCCTGTGCTGTATCACCTCTTTTCACCCTCTGTCTGAAACCAGAGCCCAGTCTGCTCTGATTGGTTAGCTGGCCGGCTCTGTTGTGATTGGTCAACCAATTAGAGATGTCCCGCCCCTTAGCCTATGTCTTGGAGTGCTGCCATAAGAAATGCCAGTGTTACATAGTGATGTCACTATGTTACGAAGTAAACAAATTAGTCTCCAAAGGAGGCGTTTCAGGCAGGGGGGGGAGTTTGTGGGTGAGAAACTCCACTACAGGAAAGGGGAAAACCCCAAAAATAATAGAGCCCCTTTAACCCTTACCCTAACCCTAATGCTAATATAGCTCCTACTAGGTTATTAAAAAAGACATTGCCTTAATCATTGCCACTAGAGTGTTTGTGCAGAATACCCTAAATCTGATGCTAATTTCAGGTTACGTAATCCTG